CTCCAAGCTTTTACTTGTTGTTAAACAAATATTTAAACAACTCCATTCAATTATGCACCAGCTGCCCAGTGTCGGCTAAAAATACGAAGAATTAATTGTGGCAGAATGCTACAAGTTCTTCAAATACCTATAGAATGATAGGTTTCTTATTTGTGAGTTTAAAACACTTAAATACACTATTTCGATTTAACAGAATTACTTTAATTATTTTAACTATAGGTAGGGACCGTAAACTTCCAGTTAAAATAATTAAAGTAATTCTGTTAAATTTCAAGTATACAGTAAATGTGAAAGTAGTTACTAGCTGAGAAAAATAAGACAAAACTGGTTACCTAGGGTTCACTAAAGCTAATTTTAAAGTAGGTATTTAATCTCGAGTAAATTATCGAATTTAGAAAAAAAAATATTGTTATAATATCTGTTTGAAAATTAAAAAGTATGGTGTATCTTGTCGATGGTTACATATACGTTATAACCAAGTGTAACCATCAAAACAGGTTAGTGATTTTCTTTAGAATTCAAATTATAGGCCTACATTTTGCCACAACTTTTAATGTCGCAAGTTTAATTTTGTTGAGAGAGTAATTATACAATGTTAATTATCATTCTCATTATTTGTATCTTCAATAGTTCCCGATATTAATTAATCATTTATCAACGTTTCTGTGCTACTATTGAAAATGAGAAACCGAATACTGCACCTTAGGCTTAACTTTCACGAATAAACTAGGTAAAATTTTAACAAACAAGTGACTCCTTAATAACACAAAATTCCCAAACTCGCAAATGAGGAAAGCATTAATTTAGTCGTATCAGTTTCTGCATAATTTATTTGTTTCTGAAGATGTTTATCACAGAGTTCCGGGAGGCTGTGAATTAAGTGATGAACAAGAGAACCTAAGGAGTTGCATTAGCGTAAGAGTTGCATTAGCGTAAGTAAATTTTAAGGATTACTTAGCCTCAAGATTTTCTACGATACATTACGAACATTGGTAAATTTGAAAAAAAAATCTAATTATATTATAAAGTTACATTTCTTTAAAAGATTTAGTCCACTTCTTTGAACATAAACAGTGTTCTGCTTTTTTTCTTCAACAACTTCAAATCAACACATAACTAAACTAAACATGCTAATTCATCAACCTTATAAACTTAAGGCTATGGATAATATAAAGTATATTCTAACTACAAAAAAAGGTAGTCGAGTAAAGATTATTTAGCATATCCTTACTTATTCATTTAACAAAAGTTTATTCAATATAAGGATGGAACATGTACCTCTTCTTTTTCCAGGAGATGGTAATGTGGTGACTGTTAATGCTGTTGCTTCACTTTTCCCTTTAAAATTCGATGCGTATAAAGCAAGGATAAAAGATGTTCCTAAAGGCAGATCATTCACTACAAACACTGGGTTGTCATTTTTGGTAATATTTCTCTGTAGACGTTCTGCGGCCGTATTGAATACCTCTAAGTGGAAAGCCTGCTTTAATCCACCGTCGTGTCCAGGCTCACATTTTATCTTTATGTAAGTTGTCGATTTATTCGTGATTTCGCAATTTCGTAGACCTTCAGGGGTGCCTAATTGAATACCACAGAGAAAAGAGCTTTTCTATCAAGCCTTTTAGAAATTGTTTTTTTTTACTTGCTAGAAATCGACTAAATATCATCATATCTTTTTATAAATATCTGATGTATTATAAAATATATATTCAACTAACACGCTATTCCAGTCCTTTGACATTACATATTCAAACAATAAACCTTTGGTACTTATTGTATTAACCATAAGAATTAAGAAAGACATTTCATTCTTGTTTGTAATCAAGCATAAACCCACACAATGGCTATCTGTGCTTTGCCCACCACGGGTATCGAAACCCGGATTCTAGCGTTGTAACTCTGCAGACATACAGCTGTGCCACTGGGGGGTAGCAGTTCATTAGCATTTATCGTTTAGTAACAAGGATGATATTAATATCCTCTTTAATTTATTCCTCCATTATACGATGTTACATTTGTACATTTGAGCTGGGGGTAGCAGTTCATTAGCATTTATCGTTTAGTAACAAGGATGATATTAATATCCTCTTTAATTTATTCCTCCATTATACGATGTTACATTTGTACATTTGAGCTGGGGGTAGCAGTTCATTAGCATTTATCGTTTAGTAACAAGGATGATATTAATATCCTCTTTAATTTATTCCTCCATTATACGATGTTCCATTTGGAAACAACTCCGGTGGTTCAGCAGTAAGTTTGCATTCTAAAGTCGCTAGAAATCCAGTTTCGATACCTGTTGTGAGCAAAGTACAAATAACCATTTGTGTAGTTCTGTGTTTAACAACAACCAAGAATTCAATAAAAAATATATGATACACAGATTAACTGCGTGTGGATGATTTAGAATCGGAGTTTGAAGACGTGTGCCATCATTCTAGTCACTCTATGATTATTAAAACTATAAATATCCTCCATCATATGATTAAGTAATGTAGGTTTTTATTTTAACAGACAAATATCTTGCTTATTCCATTAAATAATTTTCAAAGTTTAAGATAATTCAATATTTCGACATTCCAACAAATTTTTTTTATTTTTAAACCTTAAGCATTCCGGTAATCGGGTAGAACCTGCTGCAATTAAATGCTTCCTCTAGCAGTTGTTCGACAGGCGAAACTATAAATTAATATCCACGTCCCACAGTACGAGTTTAACTTTCATACTTTTATGTATAGGATTACAAAAATGTATAAATTCTGAAAAATAAGGAACTACATTAAGTATCGTTTAAAACTGTAAACTATTTGTAGTTAAGTACAAGGTTACACAATAGGATGTTTGTGCTCTGCCCACCACGGGTATCGAAACCCGGCTTTTAGCGTTGTAAGTGCGAAGACTTACACGATGTACCACTGGGGGAGGGGCAGGCTGGTAAAATGACTAAAAATAGGATAATTAAGTTGGTTGGTTGTATATATTTCAATATAAGAGCAGAGGGAAGACACCCAGTCAACAATATCCTCTGCCAGCTCTTGGACTACTTACTCTAATAGTCAAATTTAGTATAACATAAATGTATCTTTGCACAAATATATTACATTTTTTTTTCACTAATATCATATATAAGAGTAGAGGGAAGACATCCAGTCAACAATATCCTCTACCAACTCTTGGACTACTTACTCTAATAGTCAAATTTAGTATAACATAAATGTATCTTTGCACAAATATATTAATTTTTTTCTTTTTTTTTCACTAATATCATATATAAGAGTAGAGGGAATACACCCAGTCAACAATATCCTCTGCCAACTCTTGGACTACTTACTCTAATAGTCAAATTTAGTAAAACATAAATGTATCTTTGCACAAATATATTGCATTTTTTTTTCACTAATATCATACGTATTAAAACAATTCTACAGAAACAAATATCCTGTAAAAGTTTTTACACAAGTCCACCAGTCCACTATACCTGCTGGAATAACAGTGTAGACACATGGTTCTTTTTGAACTCCCAGTTCGTTACTAGCCCAGCAATACAACACACCATAACTGAGCGGAGCATCAGGACTGTAGTTTATTTCCGCGTATGTTCCGTTCGACTTAAATGAGGTTATCTCAACTATCTCCAAGGAGTTGTTGAAAGCCCACTTGAACGAAACATTCGATGGAGTAGCTTCAATGTAGCATCTCACTATTATGGATTCGTTTGGAGCTACACCGTAGATGAGCTTCTGACCTTTTTTACAAACAGGAACGTCTGTTGGATAAATATACATTTAATATAAAATTCCCTTACTAATGACTTAAGTCATAAACACCCAAATGATCATGCGCAATTATAGTTTAAGGCCTATTGAAAGACACTCGAGCTTTTACCCAGTGTTAGGGTACGAAATAGCTATTTTAAATAGAAAACTGTTTGACTAAGAATATATTTGCTAATTTTAGGTCGAATGTTTTATTAAGATGACACCGTCAACTACATCTGAGGTAATTATTATCCATTACAATCACTTTTTTGTTAGGGTTAACTCTAGGACTAAAGCTTGAAAGAAGAGAAGGTATTCAGGTATGAATTGATTCAAGTTTTGCTTCTCTGAATACCACTTAAACCTTTTTAGGTTGATTTTTATCTTGTATATTCTAACACAATATTATAATCTAATACATCCAATACAAAATTAATATTAATTCTAACTTACGGTATATTTCCAAAATAACTTCGTTGCTTGATCCCTGGCCTTCAACGTTTGTTGCAAGACATTGGTACCTGCCAGCCTGATCCCTTGTCACTTCTCGTAGCGCTAAAGACTGGTTAGTGATCATTATTCCCTTTTCAGGATTGCTGAGTAGACGTTTTCCATTAAACTCCCAGCTAGTTATTGAAACAGCGGGGTTGGCTTTAATATCACACTCAAAATAGACATCATCGTCTTCTTTGATGTAGTCTCTGTGCACGTTTTTCCCAAGTAGAAGCGTAAGTTTTGGTAAATCTATAAATAATTTTACTATCGTTAAACAAGGAGCATACATTTATGAAAATTCTTTTTTTCAAAATAGTCGAAACTGGTTGACATTTGATAACATTTGAAACAAAGAGGAGTTAGCGATAAAAAATATAATTTATTATTAATTGCTGCTATAATAACTACCTTAAAGGCTTTGGTTTTTATAGCATAGTTAAGATAATTAAAGTAATTCTGTTAAATTTCAAGGAAGTTTACGATCTCTACCCATAGTTAAAATAATTAAAGTAATTTTGGTAAACTTCAAGGAAGTTTACGGTCCCTACCTATAACAAGAAATCTGAAAACATTATAATTATATAAATGTGTTACGCTGTAAAGTGTGTTAATTGCGATTTAATTAATATACCAAAACAATATTAACTTCTGTTAATACAAAAATTTAAATCAATTTTTGTTGTTGTTTTTTGTAACGACAACAATTTGATATGTTATAAAGGGAAATATAATGAATTTTTATATTAAAATGAAATATTATTATGAGAAAACCTATTCCCGAAGCTTAACTGTTGATAAAAATATATTGTTTAATACAATAACTAATGTTTTAAAAACAAATTTAAAGAAACCTTGTGCCTTATGGTTGATTATAGAAATGGAAATTATTGCAGGGAATATTTAAAACGTTGAAATTAACTAACTTTTCTTGGCCTTATTATAACTGTTAAACATGCAAAAATATTTTCATATCTACCCTAGGACCAAAACAAAATAAAAGAAAGAGAGAGAAAAACACCTATAGACACATGTAATATGAAACTCTTCTTGTTTCTTTAGTTGATGAACAACAGATGTTTATAAAAGTGTTAATGGATCATGGCGGTTATATAGGTGTTTGAAAGTTAACAACTTTTGTTTAATTTTATGCTTGTTACAAAATTATATACTCATTTAGTTTATTAACATAATGATAACGTATGATATCTTAACCAACTTATGATATCTTAATGGATTCATATAACGTTTAAAACCTTATGTTGCATATGATGATGTTAACAATAATTGTTTGTTTGTTATGGATTTGGCGCAAAGCTACACGTAGGGTAAATCTTTCATTCTTTATTTTACTTTTATTATTACTAATGGCCCGGCATGGCCAGGTGGTTAGGACGCTCGACTCGCAATCTGAGGGTCGCGGGTTCGAATCCCCGTCACACCAAACATGCTCGCTCTTTCAGCCGTGGGGGCGATATAGTGTGACGGTCAATCCCACTATTCGTTGGTAAAAGAGTAGCCCAAGAGTTAGCGGTGGGTGTTTAGGACTAGCTGACTTTTTACTAGTCTAACACTGCTAATTTAGGGACGGCTAGCGCAGATAGCCTTTGGGTTGATTTTGCTATTCATCATATCTGCAGGATATGCGATTGGCGCCATTTAATAGTAGCAATTATGTGTGTAAGTTTCAGGCTTCTAAAATTATATCTTCCGCGAGAGGTGTGGGTGTGTGTGTGTTGGGGGGGGGGGAGTATTTTCCTTAAAATATACATAATCAAAGTATATGAGAAATCAAAGTACCATAACTTTGTATATGTAATGTTTAGTAAATTTAGGAGTTTTATGTACTTAGTTACAGTAGATTTTTGAAGTGATAGAGCTTCCTGAAATAAATACACCTGCTTGAAATATATTATAAATATATCTCTGAAACACGAGTACAAAATGGTGACGTCTATGGATTCCTTTGTCTTGTAGCATAGCATATTTCTACAAGTGGACATGTCTATTTATACATGCTACTTTTGTTCGCTCTTATAAGTTTGAAACTATCTTTTTATTTACCAAAGTGTTCTTGCTCTTTTGATTAATAACGAATTCCTTTAGTTTATTAC